GTGCTCCCCGCCGGCTTAGCCTTCTCCCAGGCCTCCTCGAGGCCCTTCTCGAAGTCATCCTTGTTCAGCAGGCCCCTGAAAGGATCGCTGCGGTTCTTCCAGGCGGGAACCATGTCGTACTGGGCCTGCTTCTCGATGTTCTTCGGCGCGTTCGGGTTCAGCTGCCAGGCGAAGTCATCGGAGAAGGTGTACAGCAGGAAGGCTGCGAACGCAATGCCCGGGACGATCAGGGTGGTCAGCGGCACGAGGATGGAGTGCCACTTCCTGTGGAAACCAAAAGGTACCGATACCGCTACTCCCGGACCGCTCCTGGGCGCGTTCTGACAGAATTTCGAGGCAAATCCAGCGGTGGCGACGAGATCCTCCGAGGAGGCCCAAAAACGGAAAACCGCCGAAGGGTAGAGGTATGGGTACCTTTCCCTCCTCCGACGTCCTCTGGTCGCCGTACTTGGCCTCCGCGTCCTCGGCCAGCAGCGTCAGCGCTGGCAGCGCGGCGGACACGGCGAGCGCGGGGCTGAACTGGCCCAGGGCCTGCGGCAGAAGAACCCAGAATCAACCCGACAAGTCGGCTCGGCGATCCACATGACTCCGATTGACCGCCATCGGCTTCGAGTCGGGCCACGTCGAATCGGCAGGCATCGGCAGGCTAAGGGGGCCTCCAGCAGGGCATCGAGGCCCGCATCGGAATCCGATGCCGAATCGAGTCGGCATCGGCAGCCCTCGAAGTCGCATCGAATCGATAATCCGAGGAAGCGCAACGAGCCCGCGGGGGCCTGCGGTGCCGGCGCGGCCCGCGGCGACGGGACGAACGCGGTGCGGACCGCCCACGCGGCGGACAGCGCCGCCGCGGCGGCGAGGAGGGCACGGCCCGGGCGGCGAGGTGCCATGGCCGAAGGCCGAAGGGGCGCCAGGCCTCGGGAGCGCGTGCGGCGAGTCTTCGGGGCCAACGCTGACTTGAGCCAAGATGGCTACAGTCGGGGCGTCGACCTAAGGAACGACAAATAAGGAACGAGGCCCTTTTTTCCCATCTATGGAACTCCGATGTTCCGTGGAAAGCCTCAGGAAAACGTAGGAAAACCCGAGGAGCACTGTAAAGCAACTAAGGAGCTCAGAGCCCCTCCCCAACAAAAAGGGTTCCTTCTTCAGGGCCCCGACTGTAAGTTTGCAGGTACGTTTTTTTTAATACATCGGATGCTTCATTCATCGCATGCTTATTACACAAAGGCCCAGACTAGGAAGAGACAAATCTCGCGCGCGCCAGAATGCATAGGTTTTTTGTTTGAAGGAGGAGGAGGCGGAGGAGGAGGAGGAGGAGGGCACCCCTTGGGAAGGTCGCCCATGCTCAGTAGGCGGGTTCACTGTAGCGGGTGCTGTGGGGGGACACGACATTTCGGGGAGGAGGAGGAGGAGGAGGAGGAGGAGGATGAGGAGGAGGGCACCCTTGGGAAGGTCGCCCATGCTCACTAGGCGGGTTCACTGTAGCGGGTGCTATGGGGGGGGGGCACATCATTCCGGGGGGTGCTGAGGGTGGCCCAAAGGTACCCCTCAGCGCTTCTCGCTCAATTTTGGAGCCCCGGGGGGCCCTCTGGGCCTCGTGAGGGATGCTCCAATCTTCCCTCCAGCCGTCTGTCCCAGTTGGGAGGAGGACAATGTTGAGTGGGAGGGAGAGAAGAAGCAGTTTGCTGAGGAGGAGAATCGACCCCAGAGCACGCGACGGCCCCAACAGCCTTCCGAGAGCTCTCCCAGCCGCTCTCCTCCCTCCACCCCTCCTCCATCTTCCCAATCCTCCTCTCTCGTCCTCCCCCCTCCTCGTCCTCCTCCTCCTCATTCTCCGTCCTCCATCCTCCGTGGAATCCTGGGGGCACCTTGGGCCAGGGGCACCTCTAGCCAGGAGCACCCGAAGCATGGCGCCCCCGCTGCGTGCCCCGGGCGCCGCCGTCCTGTCACAAGGGGTCGGACACGACGCCCCGCGCGCACGACAGAGCGTGCTCGCGGCACGCGCATGGTCGTGACCACCGCACCACGAGGACGAAGACATTGGCCCTGCCCACATCCCAGCACAGGCTGGCGCGCGCCACGCTGAGCGCGGCACAATTCCGGAACCGACTACCAGACCACCCCAACCTGACCCGAAGAAAATTTCGGGCTCGGGAGGTACGGGTTCCATGTGTGTTTTTTTTGATGGGGCCTTCGGAGTGGGTTGGGGTGGTTTTGCGGCTGGTGAAGAACTGCACGCGATAATGCAATTTGCGAATTTGTGCCGCCACCGTCTGCGAGCACCACAACGATATGCTAGTGCGCTTTCAAGGCAATCCGCGAGAACGGCCTTTCCCGCCACCCCTGTAACGTCACGTTTCGCGCCGGCACCGTCAGGGAATACTCAGGTGTAGCCTCGGACAGCTAAACTTGACATGTAGGTAGGGGTTTGCCAGGGATACATAGGCGAAGCGCAGGGCCTTGCTGAGAGAATTCGCTGTCAGCGGACGTCGCACCTGTGCGCCTGAGTATGCCCGCGGAAGGATCTGCGGGGAATATACTTCCTCTGTGCCAAAGTGCCTGCGTGCAGCACAACGCCTGTGAATACCTCAATGCTTGGGCGTATCAGCGAGCGGCGTGCAGGGGTGAACAATACAAATGTGCACACCACAGTGCCACTATGCACCGTAGCGCCTGTGCACACCTGAGTGCCAGTGTGCACAACAACGCCTGAGTACACCAGAGGCCCTGTGTACAGAACATTGCTTGTGCACACCAAAGCGCCTATGCGCGCCACACTGCGCGTTTACACCGCACCGCCTGGGCACCACAAGGTATGTTAACATTACAGTCTGTGCATGTGTAACCAGCAATGACTGTTTACAACTGGCATCACAGTCAGTGCATGTGTATACCCGAGCTGCTTGAGCAACATCACATGTGCGACGCAGGGCGACCGGAACATCACTGCATGTGTACACATCAACATCGGTGTGCACCACAACGCCTGTGTGCCCCACAGCGCTTGTGCACACAACATCGCCAGTGTGCCCCACAGCTGCTGTCTCACCACAATGAAGTGCGTGTGTACAGCACTGCCTCTACACAATAATAGCTGTGTGCGCCACACAACGCGTGAGTACCTTCGGGGCTCGACAGGCCAAACTCCGCAAACCGTGAAGACACCGAATGTACCAAATTCAATGTAATTGTATTCGCACTTACCGAGTTTTGCCCTAAACTCTTGAGTCCTTCTCCTTTGGGGCCCACACTGCCTGTGTATGCCACACAGCCTATGATCGCCTCGACGCAAGTGTACAATAAGGTGCCGCGCGCACCCCAAACGCTTCAGAAGAAAAAACATCCGTGTGCACCACAGCGACTGCGTGTACACCACCAGCGTTGCTGCATCAACATATGTGCATGCCACGCCGCCTGGGTACACCACATCGCCTGCGTACACCACAGCAGCTGTGTAAGCCACAACGCTTCAACGTATGCGTGGACCACAATGACGATGCACACTGTGCGTTTGTACATATCCTGAGGCCTTCGACAACCTCCCGACAACGTCGGAAAATCCGTCGGTCGGTCGCCTTTGTCGATATCCCCCTAACCATTCCCAATCCAGACGTTACATGGTCCCTCGCTCTACCTGTTGCGGACGCAAGTCGTCACAAAACCCTCCCCACCCCCAGTAGCGGCCGTCGACGCCGGAGGATAAACGACGGGTTGTGGCAACTCCACGCGAACGTGCAAATACTTCAACAGTTCGCAGACGCGATGCTAAGAGGAACGTGGCGCGAATAGGACAGAGGGGGGGGGAGGCGGGCCAAAGACCCGAGCGACCCATTGTATGACATGTCTGTGATGGAGTTGTGCACCAGGAGTGGGCCTGGTGCTTCCTGAAGCGCTGCATGTTTGCAAACACGGCAACATGCAAGATCCTGCACACCTCGCAGCAACGCACAAGCGCCACGGTGTGCCAATAGCCCGCGCGACCATCGCCAGTGCCAGCCTCCACGCAGCGCGACGTGTCTCAGTGCACCGGCGAAAAACCAGCCATCGAGAGCAAACAACAGCAGTTATGGATGCAATTCTCCGCGGCGGACAAAGAGGAGGGCGTCCAAGACGGGGGGGCGCAGATCATGGCCGGCGGCACGTGCGCGGCCCAGGGGGAAGACCAGGAACGCAATGAAATCAAAAGAAGCGACATGAAATCTGGGGAAACACCATGGCCCCCGCCAGGATTTCCCAGAAGGCCGCCTGGGCCCCCGCCGACGACGGTGAAATAACTTCGGGGCCAGGCCGGGCTGGCTAGCAAGTGTCCGCAACGAGGCACCTGTTGCCAAGCAGAGCTCCAAGAGCTGCGACGATTTCAAAATTGGAAAATTTCCAACATGTGGCTTTCCTTGAGCTGGACCGCGGGGAGTCATCATGGAACGCCCGCGCGCCATCGAATCGCCTCGCGCCGCCTGCCCCTGTCATTGTATCGCGCCGGGCGAGCCGCGGAGGCGCGACCAACGCGGCCCCGGAGCCAGGCCGCCGCGTGACCGCCATGGAACATATCGCCGCGATGACGCTTCGTTCCGCAATCGTCGGGCATAGCGTCCGCGCGAATTTGGGCACGAGCCGCAGTCGGAGCGCAGGCGCAATCGGCGCGCGCGCGCGAAGCCGTCGAAAGGCTAGGTGCTGCCCTGGCCGCGCGGCCGATAGCTTGCGCGGGAGATACACGTCCCAAGCTGATTTATGATGGAACGCGCCGGCGCGGGACCGACGGACCACAAGAAAGGGTCACCTGGGAGACTCCGCGCGAGGAAGAAACGCTCGAGCGCGAGCGCCACGTGAGGAATTGGCGGGACGACGGAGGCGGTTGGGTCTCGCATGCCCGCGCAACTTGAGCAAACTCCGCTCCGGGGGGTAGCGCTCGCGGGGCCCACCGCGGGCGCGGGGGCCGCTGGCTACCGCAACCGCGGCGAGGCCCGGGCGCCCCCCCCTGGGGGCCGAGGCACGCGGCTGCGCTGAAGCCTCAACGGCCGGCCGCGGGCGCTGCGGCGCAATCGCGAACCCGCCACGCGAGGCAGCGCAGCCCGCCGCGAGGGCATCCCCTCCAACCGAGCGGGGGTCCCCGGGGGAGCCCCTGGCCCCCTCCCCGACCCCCCCGCCGCCTTTCCGCGGCGCCCTGCTCCCCCTCCGCGTTTGACAACGATTGTGGACATGTGTTTGGCAACGATTTTGTGCACTCGTTTGGCCTCCCTTCCGCGGGGGCGTACTTTTTTGGCCGCGATTTTTCTTGCAATTCAATCGATGAGAAAAAATCGAATTCAAAATCGTGGGTGGTTTCGTGGAGCCTTGCAAGGGGGCGCGGAATGGTGGCCGAAAATCGCGCGCAAAATCGTTTCCGAAATCGCGGGCAAAATCGCATCCGAAATCGCGGGCGAAATTGCGCTGCCGAAATCGCGGGCGAAATCGCGGGCGCAGAATCGCGGGCCTGCCCGGCGCGCCGGCGCGCGCGCCCGCGCGACATCAGCGACGGGAAGAGAGAACACAAACCAAAAAAGAAGCGGAAGCGGCAGCAGCGGCAGGAAGGCCAGCAGCGGCAGCGGGAAAAGGAAATAATGGGAAGCAGCAGCAGGAGAGGAGTGGAAGAGTCGTCGAAATTGGCCCGCCCGTTCGTCGCGCGCCCCACAGCGCGCTGGACGCGCTCCTCGGGGGAGACTCGCCGGCCCCGCGGGCAAGAGGCGCGCGAAGATCTCCGGCGACTGCCTCGCGGCATTTCTACTCCGCGCGCGCGGGGCGGCCCAGAGGGCCCCCCGGGCGCCAAGTGCCCCGGCCAGGTCGGGCCAAATGGCCCTTCTCCTGGGCGCGGCTTTCAGGCGCCCCGAAGCGATGCAAGAGGGCCCCAAGAGGCGCCCGAGACGGTCCAAGAGGGCTCCGAGTCGTCGAACGATCGGCCCGCGACACTCAGGATGGCTTCCAGACGGCCCACGACGC